CTCAAGACGCTGAGGTGGAAGGATCACTTGAGCCCAGAAGATTGAGACTGCAGGAAGCTATGATTGCCACTGCACTCCAGCCTGGACGACAGAGCGAAATTCTGTCTTTGCTTTTTTTTTTTTTTTTTTTTTGAGGCAGAGTCCTGCTCTGTCGCTCAGGCTGGAGTGCAGTGGCACTATCTGAGCTCACTGCAAGCTCCGCCTCCCGGGTTCACACCATTCTCCTGCCTCAGCCTCCAGAGTAGCTGGGACTACAGGCGCCCGCCACCATGTCTGATTAATTTTTTGTATTTTTAGTAGAGATGGGGTTTCACAATGTTAGCCAGGATGGTCTCGATCTCCTGACCTTGTTATCCTCCTGCCTCGGCCTCCCAAAGTGTGAGCCACCGCGCCCGGACGAAACTCTGTCTTTAAAAAAAATAAAATTAATAGAACAAAATTATATAAAATAAAATGAAAAGCTTTGCTCTCACTGCAGCAGGGGGTTCTCGGGAAACAGGCCAGCAGCAGACACTCTTCCTGCTGCTTCTCTTTCTTCCAGGAGAGCGTGCGCAATGCTAGTGTCTGGAGTCTGATTCTTGGCTGCTGGGAGCTACTTGACTTGTGACTGGATCTCACACGTCCAAAATAACTAACTTTCAGAGACGGATTAAATCCCAATCAAGCCTTTGCTCGGCCTGCTCAAGGACTCTCATTCACCCCGAAGTATTCTTGCTATGTCAAAGCGAAGAAGACCCTCTGTCAGCTTTAGGAATCATTTTCTGATGAGTGCTCCTTCTGTGGGTGTCCATTTCAACTTCAAACTCTCATCTGTCAGTGACGTTTTCCACCTCAGTTTGGCTTCGCTGGCTCGGGAGATGCTACAGTATTAATCGATTTCAAGGTTTTTGAACAAATAGCCATAAATACTTAAGCCTCCGCTTTGCCTATTAAGGAAAATGCCATGCGAGATAATGATTTTGTCTCTGCCTGACAGGAGTATTTGCACAGAGGACAGGATTATTTTAACCTTTCCACACATTCTGAAACCTTGAACCTATTTGATCTTTCTCTATACTGTCAGTATCTGTGTGGCCAAATATGACAAATTACTGAACACTCAGGAGGAAAAAATGCTAGCAAAAGCTGGAACAGGCTAGGCACAGGTGGTGGCACACACCTGTAGTACCAGCAACCCAGGGACTGAGGCAGGAGGATGCCCTGAGCCCAGGAGGTTGAGGCTGCAGTGAGCTGTGGCACTCCAGCCTGGGCAACAGAGTGAGGCTCTGTCTTAAAAAAAAAAAAAAAAAAGCCAGGCGGGGTAGCTCACACCCATAATCCCAGCACTTTGGGAAGCCGAGGCGGGTAGATCACCTGAGGTCAGGAGTTCAAGACCAGCCTGGCTAACATGGTGAAACGCTGTTTCTACTAAAAATACAAAAATTAGCCAGGCTTGGTGCCTGTAATCCCAGCTACTCGGGAAGCTGAGGCAGGAGAATCGCTTGACCTGGGAGGTGGAGGTTGCCGTGAGCTGAGATCACGCCACTGCACTCCAGCCTGGGCAATAGAGCCCATCACACACACACACACACACACACGCGCCAACAAAAAAGGTGAAACAACCTAAAGTGATTATTGATTGATTTTCCAAAGCAGTGGTGCCTGATGTTTTCAATGAAAGCCGACTGGAATCCACATATAGATTTTTGTTCCTGCTGGTCAGTATGATGTCACTTCTTATAAACTGAAAGCACTTGGAGGGCAAGGGCCATCTGATGTATTTTTGTATCCCTTGTGGCATCACGCTTAAAGACAGAAAGCACGCAGAGTGCTGTCTGGACACGTGACTCACTCAAAGTTTCCAGCAGTTTAGTGTAGTGAGCAGTGCAAAGGTTTAGAGGTGACCTGGGCTTGCAATCGAAGCCTAATTCTGGCATTTCTCAGTAACATGGCCTTAGACACGTTACTCACCACCTCTGTCACCTCATTTGAAACACAGGTCTGATGCTACCTCCCTGTGGGGCTTGTCATGAGGATTAAATGAGAGAAAGTTTATTTTATTTATTTATTTTTTTTGAAACGGAGTCTCACTGTGTTGCCCAGGCTGGAGTGCAGTGGCACAATCTCAGTTCACTGAAACCTCTGCCTCCCAGGTTCAAGCGATTCTCCTGCCTCAGCCTCCTGGGCAGCTGGGATTACAGGTGCCTGCCATCACGCCCAGCCAATTTTTGTATTTTTTAGTAGAGACGGGGTTTCACTATGTTGGCCAGGCTGGTCTCGAACTTCCACCTCAATTGATCTATCTGCCTCGGACTCCCAAAGCACTGGGATTACAGGAGTGAGCCACTGCACCCAGCCAAGAGAAGGTTTATCATGTGCCTGGCACACGGTAGACAGTAGAAGGTGGTCACTTCCTCTATTATTGCTTGAACAGTAGATGTAACGAGGGGAATGAAGGCTTCAGATGTGAAAGTATCTAGAGTGAGAGCAGAGTATTCTGTGTACGAAGATGCCTGAAGTTACCAAGACATGCCAGAAGTGTGTTTAGGTGTCCCTGTTGGGGACGGTGAGGAGGTTCTCCAACACATAACGAGTGTGATAGACTAAGTCCCCTCTCCCCTACAGATGTCCACATCCTCATCCCTGGAACCTGTGAATATATTACCTTTATGCGGTAAAAAGGATTTTGCAGAGGTAAGTGAAGGATCTTGAGCTAGGGAGAGGATCCTGGATTATCCAGGTGGGCCCCATATAATCCCAAAGATCCTTGTAGGAGAAGAGGGAGGCTGGAGGGTTGTAGTCGGAAAAGACAGAGATTGGAAGATGCTACATTGCATGGAGGAGGAAAGAAGGCACCACAAGCCAAGGAATGCAGGTGGCCTCTTGAAATTGGAAAAGGCATGGATGGCAACAGGTTCTCCCCTAAAGCTTCCAGAGGAGACCAACCCTGCCCACAGTTTGACTTCAGCCCAGTGAGGCCGATTTTGGACTCTGATCTCCAGAACCACAACATAAATCTGAGTTATTTTAAACCGTTGAGTTTGTGGTTATCTGTTACAGTGGCAACAGGAACTCATACCGTGAATGATACCGAAACGCGACAATGAAAAAAGACAAGACACTCAAACGGACAAACCTTAATGATACAGAAAATTTCATCTCTGCCGGACACTGTTGCTCCTGGTGTTATGAGATAGCTGAGGTGTTACTGAACACAAGGAGTTATTTGTCGGAACAGGAGAGACCTGGTCTTAATAGAGATGAGGTTCAATGTCACCTTTATTCCTAAAAATGCTGCCATTCCTCGTCACTAAGCTTTTACAGCATCTGCTGAATTGTTAAATGAAGCCTGAATGTCTCATAATCACAGCCTGCTTAATACCTGTCATCTAGTAACAGCCTTTGGAATAAATACTACATCAAGAGGTTGTATTTCTAACAGTACCCTGTCTATTCATATCTGAAGAATAAGACTATTTAATTTCACCTCGTGTCTGGAAGTGCTAACAAGGGAGTTCTTTTAGGGGAAAATCCCAGTAAGTTATCCAGTAAGATCACATATCACCCCTAGCCATGCGATTCAGAATTTAAATTTCTAAATGAAGTCTACGTGTCCACAGTCTTGAAATATCATAAAAGTAAAAGGTCTTCACAAAGGAATAAAAGGCAGCTTCCCTTTTGGAACAATGACTATGGAGCGTCTACCAGATGCAAAATGTTGTATTAGGCACTTTGATCCACACAGCAATTCTACAAGGAGGATATTATCCCCAATGTGCTGCTGAAGAAACGGCGTTCAGAGACGTTAAGTAACTCACCCGAGTCCCCACAGCCTGTAAATAACTGATTCCAGATTGAAGCTCACACTGGTCTGACTTCTGAGCTTGTGGGTGCCTTTTTCACTGTCCCTACTGTCTCTGAGATAAATGCATGGGATAATCTGTTGAATACATGTGAGACCGGCTGCCAGCAGCTCATCTGAGAGCTGTATGAAGAGCTGAAGCCGGCTCAGCTTTGGATGCGTTGGTCTCCACCATGCTGGGGTTCAGATGGGAAGAAACTGTGGCATCCACAGGACCGTGTGTGGATGGAAAGTTGGCTCTACAGTGACAACCAATTCTATCATTGGCATGTGGGATGTTTCATAAAACAGGAAAAAAAAAATCCTCAGTAAGTGTTGTAACAAAAGCAGAGCAGCCGGGCCGCTGCTGTCAAGATACAAGTCCCAGAACCATTTTGCTTAGAACCACACTGATACGTTCTTCCTAGACCAGACAACATGCAGTTTAGAACAGTCATCACTCTGATGCTGCTAAAACGCCATCACTGCAACCACCTTCTCACCCCGCTTTTCACGCAGAGTATTTTCACAATCAATTCCCTCCACTCAACAGCGTTTTCTTTTGCGGGGGAAGGGCTGGGGGGACAGAGTCTTGCTATGCAATGCAGTGCAATGGCGCGATCTCAGCTCACTGCAACCTCCGCCTCCTGGGTTCAAGCAATTCTCCTGCCTCAGCCTCCTAAGTAGCTAGGATTACAGGCATGCACCACCATGCCCAGCTAATTTTTTGTATTTTTAGTAGAGACAGGGTTTCACCATGTTGGCCAGGCTGGTCTCGCACTACTGACCTCATGATCCACCCACCTCGGCCTCCCAAAGTGCTGGGATTATAGGCATGAGCCACCACGCCTGGCCAACAGTGTTTCTTAAATGATTTTGACCATGACCATGTAAGAAATGCAATTTCCCAAGCAACTGGTTCACATGGAGCAAATAATGTTTTTGTTATTTGCTCCAGGTTGTTATTTGCTCTAAGGTTGTTCCAGGAAGCAAGACACAACCTTACTATGTGCAATGGGCTCCCCTCTTTCCTCTATTTTAGTCTATTTTGTAGTTTATCCATTTAGTGGTCATGACCATGCAATGACTTCATGATTCGCCAGTGACCCCATATCCCATGAGAGGGCTGTGTTTACAGCTTGGGAGTCCCGGTCTAGAAGACGAGCACCGGAGTTCCTACCTCTGGGGCGATGTAATCTGGAGTCCCACAGAAGGTCCTGGTCGTGACTCCATCCATCATGTGTTCCTTGCACATCCCAAAGTCAGCAATTTTGATATGTCCTTCTGAATCCAACATGACGTTATCTAACTTCAGATCCCTGCAAGGAACCAGGTTAAATCAGAGTCCTTCCCATGACATAACATGGTTTGCTTTGGAACTGGTGAAATAGAAGGATATTTGAATATCTGTCAGCTCAATGGCAATATTAACTATAAGTCCCCGGAGGGCAGTTATCAGGAGTTACTGTGTGTTGATATCTTCAGAGACTAATATTGTGCCTGGGCTATGGCAGGTGTTTAAATGCATACTGAATGGATGACTAAACGACTGGACTAGTGATTCCCAATCTTGCCTGTGTCTGTGACTCTAGAGAGTCCAATTGAGCACATCTGGGGAAATCTCAATCATTTGATTTATTCATGTCCCACACAGGGGGTCTGACACACGACCAGGTTTGCAAAATCACGGGTTTAGAACCACCTCACTGGGTCATACACATGTCCCTTCCATTCTGCCTGTGCCATATATCCTTCTAATTATGCTTCAATTAATTAATACTGGAAGAAATTCTTCCTTCTTTGGCACCAGACTTTCAGCGCAGCTACTAACAGGAAGAATTTAATTCAATAGATTTCTTTCCTTGCCTCTCCCCAGTTCCCTGTGTTCTCCTTCTGCTGAACATCTGTAACAGGAATTCAGTTTCCATTGCTCCCTGACCTCCATTCCAAGGACAAGGCAGTGGAAGGAGCTGTCAATGGAGAGAAAAATGTGTTTTCTTGTGGAAAAAGTAGAAAAAGGATATAAAATCTTTGAGGTCTAGAAATCAGAAGGTGGCTCTGATTTGCCTCCAGGGTGAGGAGGAAGGTGGGTCCCAGCAGGTCTCTGTTCCTCCTGGGGGGTTATCAACTCTGCGTCTTAAGTCGCCATTCCAGAGTGACATGCCCACAGAAGCCCTGCTAACCTCTCTGCTGAGCTGCTGGTAGGAGGGCTTCAATACACACCTATAAATGATTCCTCTTTTATGAAGAAAGAACAATCCGATGGAAATCTCTGCTGCATAGAATCTGCAAAAGAAAACAGGCTTCAGGCTTCTCGCTTGCTTCTTTAGATGCCTATATACTTTTCATTCTCAAGTTCAAGCATCAAAGAGAGAAAAGAATGTTGGACCCAGAGGCTTTCAGAGACCAGCATCGCCTTCACGTGTTCTTCCAATCCCCAGTCCTCCTTCCATCACTTCGTCCTCCAGTTCATCCGTGAATGAGACAGCTAATAAAACCAATGAGGCCGGCTTCTTATTTTCATATGGGGAAGGTAGACAGTAGCTTATTGCCTGCAGAGTAATTTCTAATACAATCATTTAAAGAATGGATACCAGTTAGACTATTCTATGTCAGGAGTATGGCAGAGTAGAGAAAATTTCCATTTTCCTATTCACTGACAGAATACACTGGTGTTTGGAAGTATAATACAATTACTCCCTGGAAGGCAAAGTATAGTGGGTGCTGAACTCTTTAGCTAGTGTTTTCATTCCTTCCAAGTGTTGGAATCAATGAGACACACATCATGATTCATATCTGAGTTTACTCTTTTAAATAATTCATAATAAAAAGCAGTAACTACCATCACTTCAAAATTGTTAATAGGTTAATAGCTGAAACTCAGATTACAAGGGGGCGAATATTTAAAAATCTGCATAGCATTCAGGAGTCTCTGAAGTCCAAGAAGCCACAAGACTGTGCCTGTGCTAATATCACATGCAGACGGCTCAAAGTAAGCACATGTGTCTACACCAGCAGAGAAAAAAAAATCTCTAATGACAAGACCAAACCCTTAACGAGGGGCCACCTCTGAAGGCTAGAAGAGCACAGGAAGGGGGAGGGTGAAGAGATGGGATTACTACAGGTGATCTTTACATTATTTTTCATGCTTTTCTAAACTTTTCTGCAACACAAATAATATAATGAAAGGATATTGGACCAGACACCTTTACATTACTTCATAACATAGGGTGACTCTGTGCTATCTGCTGTTTGTAGTCCTGTGTGACCAGGCTTTATTTTACAATCTGAGTATTTTAAGGCTTTATAACTACAACATCAGACAGAAGAAAAGGACAGGCATTTCTGAAAACTGAAAAGGAACAATAAGGGCAGAAAAATCTCCCTTCACACTTTTAAAGCTTGCAACCAAAGATTTCCCTATTCTGCCTTCAGTTAATCTTCCCTAGGGTGGATAATCCCTCGCAGGCCAAAAATTCTTCCAATGTATCTCTTAGATGGCACAGCAGCCAGAATCCTATTAACAGTTGCTGACTTCATTCATCAGGGTACATGCCCATGAGGCCTCCTCACTGGGGAACTAAACTCGCCCTTTGTTTAGGCTTACTCCGCTGGTGTTTCCTGAGACCTCCTGGCCCCTGAGAGGTGAGATGATGTTTCCAGCACCAAAGTCCCAGCTCCCCACACCCCTCAGATGAATCTCTCATCTTCACCTGGAGCCCACGTCTTCCTCCCGTGCTGCCAACTCCCGCATCCCGTCATGCAAGGTGCGTTCCAATAAAACATTCTTAACTGAGCTCATGAATCTACCCCCAAACCACCTCCTCCTTGGTGGCTGCCCCCACCCAAGCCTAAAATGGGGTCTCACTGGAAGAGGTTTCTCTCTTCTCTCCTCCACAGTAAGTTCTGCTTTTCTTCCTCCAGGATGTTTTTCAAAGACACTTATTCCTCTTTGGCTCCAAGGTCAAGCCCTAACTACAGCCCCATTCCTTCTCATCTATAAAGGGTCCCACCAGCGCCTGCACCAGCCTCTACATTCCCATTCATGCTTCCGTCTTCCCCCAGACAGAGAGCTCTGCACAAACTGAATCTGACGGTGCAAGCCCCACTGCAGTGCCTTCCCTCTTCCGTCCTCCGCAGCCAGGCTCCTCACCCAGAGCCCCACCCACCAGGCTCCCCCCAACTCCCCCACCCTCAAATAACCTCAGAGCATCTCCCACACCTGAAGAGCTGCAAGGCTGCTTCCCTGGACTTGCTTCTGCCTCTGCTCACACTCTTCCTGGAAGGCTCTTCCCCCACCTGAGCTAGGCATTTCCTGGGGACGCACTTCCCTCTCCCCCTGATTTTTAGGGGCTTGTGTGGTATCCTGTGCCAGTCTCTAAAGTTACAGCAATGCACTATTAATTGTTAGGTGACTTTTCCGACTCCAGGGCAGAGGGTGAACTCCCTCCGGAAAGGGAGCACCTCGTTCCTTTCATACCCCCAGTGCCTGGTGCAGAGCAGGTGTGTGATAACCATTTGTTCAATAGATAAGAATGACTCCATCAATGAGGGTGGACCTGGGTGATGAGGAGACACGGCACCATCTCCAGTTTACTGGAAATATTGGAAATAGAATAAACTGCTCCTTAGGAATCATCTTAGATGGATCCTACCAGTGTATCTGCCCCCGCCTCCCATGTTTAGGTTTATTCAACCTAAAACTGGGCAGAATCCCACTTTCCCATTTCATCCAGCAGAAGTTCCCAGTTGAGGCTGGGCATGGTGGCTCACTCATGCCTGCAATCCCAGCACTCTGGGAGGCCGAGGTGGGTAGACAGCTTGAGCTCAGGAGTTCGGGACCAGCCTGGGCAAGATGGTGAAACCCCATCTCTACCAAAAACACAGAAATTTAGCCAGGCGTGGTGGTGCGCACCTGTAGTCCCAGTACTCAGGAGGCTGAGGTGGGAGAATCACCTGAGCCCGGGAGGCGAAGGATACAGTGGGCCGAGGTCGCGCCACTGCACTCCAGCCTGGGTGACAGAGTGAGACCTCCATCTCAAGGGAAAAAAAAAAAAAAAAAAAGAAAGTTTCCAGTTGGTAGAACTTGGTTGCTCAAATTAAGGAACTTTAAAAATAATACTCACACTGCTTGTGGTTCCTTAAATTTTCCTACTTGCTGAATGTGGTACATGAGGTCCCCACCGTTGACATATTCCATGACGAAGTACAGCCGATCCTGCAGACCAAGGTTCAACATGTGAGCAGGGCTCCTCCCCAGCCAAGCGGCTTCCTTTACTCTTCACAGGTTGTGTTTTGCTTTCTCATTAGTTAAATGGGGACTGCACGGGCAGATCTGCTCAGTTTAGAGCTCTCTAACGTTTTTCCCAAAGAAAGAATAAGTAATAAACCCTACTGCATGAGGGCCTTGGGAAGTATAAAGTCATTACATAACCCTGAAATAATGGCTCTCCATCAACGTGTCTGTGCCTTCCTATTACATATGCTCTCTATTATAGTAATGGCCTCAAACATTCTTCCCTATTTTCCTATCCATATAATAAATTTCTAAGTAAGGGATGGTGTGAGGAATCCACATAAGGCAATTATTTCATTTTAACTAGTGCTTCTCCATGGTCCAAATGTTTAAAGCCTGGTTTGCAGTGTCTGGGAGGCGTGCCATTCTAATGTAATATTGTGTTTAAATGAATATTCCTGAAATCACATCTCTTAGGCTTAGGATTACACATGCTCAATGATACTGGACATGGGACAGGGGGCTCTAAATGGAGAGGCTAATCAAATGTTCTTTTGCATCTGAAATATGCCCCAACACTGTTTTTCTATTTTCTCTGTCACTGGTAGGTTAAGTGTTGGCCCCATGATTGGCATGTATCATAGACCCAAATAAATCTGCATATTCATGAGGACATCATGCTGCGACAGACAGGGAGACGGAGGGGTTTAACAGTGAAATAATGACCTCTGCTCTCTGCTAGAAAACATCCCCATTTCACAGAGGCTATTAAACATTAAAGTGCTGCACAGGGAGAAAAAAATGATGAAGCTGTGCTAATACCCAGGAAGCAGCCCTGGGAGCCCCAATCTCTAGTTTTCCTGTTATGAACTTTAATTTCGTCTTCATGTCTTTGTTTTGTAGCTTTCCAGAGCTTAATCAGGGTAACCAGGGTTACAGGCTCTGGGCTGGGATTCAGAGCTGCGGTTGTCTCTTCCGAGCATGCTGCTCCCTCGTCTCTCCCTGGTGTGACTTGATTCAGAGTCAGTGGGAATGACTGGGAGCAGGAAGCTCATCCAGCCGCCAGCGCTAGGCTGACACATAGTGGCCGGTGCCGGAGTCCACAGCCGCTGCTGCACACCCAGAGGCTCCCTGTGGCTGCAAAGCCATTTTGAGATTCTAAAGCCCAAAAGCACCAAGAGGCTTCTCCCAAGAGTTTTCAAAGAGGCGTAAGACAGAAAGTCGATCTCTGATCAATGGGCAGTTGAAAATAGTAATAATCGCATCAATTATAGCTACTGATTACGGAGTCATATTTAAAATGGACAGCCTCTGAGGAGTGGAAAGACCGGCTTTGGCAACATCTTACTATGGTGCCATCTAAACATCTCTGTTTCTTGCAGGCCACTTGCAAACCCTGCAACGGACAGAGGAGTGCTCTGGAATGTTCTTTTTTGTCCTCTATTTAGTTTTACTTTATGACAGAGCTCAGCAAACTTTTTCCATAAAGGGCCAGACAGTACGTAGGTTAATACTTTAGGCTGTGAGAGTCTCTTGCCGTGACTCAACGCTGCCTTCATGGTTCAAAAGCAGCTGTAGATGACAGATACAGGAAGGAGTGTGGCGATGTCCCAAAACTGCTGTTTATGGATGCTGAAATGTGAATGTCACGATATATGACTCTTTGGATTTCCTTGTTGTGACCTTTCCTAAACTCAGGGGCCATAGAGAACAGACCACAGTTTGCCAGTCCCTGTTGTGTGCCACTGAACAAGAACATGCTCTCTTACAAAATCAAATCTCCTTATGCTCCAATGCCACGTTTGGCAGCTGAACCAGTGGTTTTAAAAAGCCAAGACTGTGGCCGGGTGAGGTGGCTCATGCCTGTAATTCCAACACTTTGGGAGGCTGAGGCGGGTGGATCACCTGAGGTCAGAGGTTCAAGACCGGCCTGGCCAACATGGTGAAACCCTGTCTCTACTAAAAATACAAAAATGAGCCGGGCGTGGTGGCACGAGCCTGTAATCCCAGCTGCCGGAGAGGCTGAGGCAGGAGAATCGCTTGAGCCTGGGAGGTGGAGGATGCAGTGAGCAGAGATCGCACCACTGCACTCCAGCCTGGGCAACAGAGTGAGACTCCATTACAAAAAAAAAAAGCCAAGACCGTGAGTTATTTTTTTTTTGTTTTTGTATCCCCAAGTCTTAGCACAGTACCAGGCATGAAGAAAACCTTTCATGGAAATGTTTGCTGAATTAAGGCGAGGCACAGTGACTCACACCTGTAATCCCAGCACTTCAGGAGGCCAACGTACGGGGATTGCTTGAGCTCAGGAGTTCAAGACCAGCCTGGGCAACATGGCAAAACCCTGTCTCTACTAAAAATACAAAAATCAGCTGAGTGTGGTGGTGTACATCTGCGGTCACAATAACTTGGCAGGCTGAGGCAGGAGGATCACCTAAGCCTGGGAAGTTGAGACTGCAGTGGGCCGTGACTGCGCCACTGCACTCTAGCCTGAGCAAGAGAGCAAGATCCTGTCTCAAAACAAAGAAAAGAGAGAAAGAAATGTTTGCTGAATTAAATGACATGAATGCCAAGCAGAGGCCATCACAGAAAAGGCATGCCCCATATCTACCAGAGAGACAGGTGGGAGGTGGTCCCCAGCCACCTCTGCTTGACATCACATCACACCTTTCTCCAGCCTTCTCCAAAGGAACAAGGATGCTAAGAAGCTTTGGGCTGAGGCACAGCCCTGAGAGCTGGGTGCTGCATCACAGAAGTACACCCCAGGGTCCTTACCACTGTCTGGAAGCAGGAGTGCAGCTGCGTCAAGAACGGGGGTTTGTCAAGCAGGGCCAAGACTCGCTTTTCTACCATGGTGCACTCCACGTCGTCATCCTGAATCACCACATCCTTCTTCAGGATTTTGATTGCATACAGTTCTTCTGTGCCCTTCCTGTCGGCAAGCATCACCTGAGAACACGTCAAGAACAACCTGAACACTTGTAAGCACACATCTTGGGGGTGGAGGGAAGGAACCAGGCCAGGTGATGGCTCAGTGACAGTCTGTGCACCTCTGTCAATGAGGGATACAATAATATTAAACTTTATGTGCAAATTTGGAAATTCTACACATCACTACAAATTCAGTCCCTTCAGCATTTGCGTAACTTCAACGCTGCCAAGATTTGTAAATGGTATAGGACACGGCCGCATGATGGCACTGTGTTGGCTGCGAAAATCAATACTCAACATTCTGTATCAGGATTCGTCTGGAATTATGCCCATTTTTCAGGAGTATCCTTAGAGTGAAAACTGACTGACATTTATAATCCCACAAGTCAAGAGTCTAGGCTGGAAATCAGTTCCTGGGTCTATCAAGAAATGTGGGGTCACAGAAACCAACTGGAGACGCAGGCAAATTGCTGAAGACCCCATGCCAGGATCTCTTATGATTGTATTTGTTTACTACAAGTTCACATTTAATTTTTAGTTGTGAAAACTATTCATCAACCAGCATTTCTGAGCATCCCCTCTGTTCCGAACACTGAGAAATAGTAACACGCAGTGAACCCACTATAGCTTTTTGGATGCAGTTGTTTTTAAGGAAGTAGAAACCAGGTGAGGACTGTGCACTCTGATCCGAGAGACCAAACAGATGCCTCTTTATCAACTAAGATGGACCCTAATGTCAGAGGCGTTTGAACCAGAGCGACTCCATCTTGAATAAGGGATGGGAAAAATAAGGCTGAGATCTGCTGGGCCGCATCCCCAGGAGGTCAGGCATTCTTAGTCTCAGGATGAGATAGGAGGTCGGCAGGGCTGGTATCACAGGACACAGGTCAGAAAGACCCTGCTGATAAAACAGGATGCAGTAAAGAAACGGGCCAAAATGCACCAAATCCAAGATGGCGATGAAAATAACCTCTGGCTACCCTCACTGCTCATTATATGCACTATTAGCATGCGAAAAGACACTCCCACCCGCGCCCTGGCAGTTTACAAATGCCATGGCAATGCCCGGAAGTTACCTTATATAGTCTAAAAAATGGAGGAACCCTCAGTTCTGGGAATTCCCCTCCCCTTTCCCAGAAAACTCATGAATAATAAAACCCTTGTTTAGCATACGATCAAGAAATACCTGTAAGTATACTCAGTGAAGCAGCCCATGCTGCTGCTCTGCCTGTGGAGTAGCTGTTCTTTCATTTCTTTACTTCTCTAACAAACTGACTTTCGCTTTATTCTATGGACTCGCTCTGAATTCTTTCTTGCTTGAGGTCCAAGAACCTTCCTCTTGGGGTCTGGATCAGGACCCCTTTCTGGTAACACTAAAGTTAAGGAAACAGTTATCTATGGGTTGTGAGGGTTCAGGGCCCAGCTGGCATGGCAAATTTCTAAATCCCTACAGCTACAAGATAAACCACTCTTGCTAAACTCCTCAGTAGTAGGAGCTACCAGGCCCCTCCTAACTCTGATTGACAACCCAGATCACTATGACTCAGACTGGACAGAGGACTGGCCTTACAAACATTCTTTTCTATAATGCATCTGCAGGCCTTAAGCCAGTTTCAGCAGCTTGCAGAGCCTGCACACAAACTGTTTTTGTGTCCTGTGGTTCACCTTTTGATCTAAAAAGTCAAATTCCACCTTTTTTTAAATTTTTTTTTTTTTTGAGACAGAGTCTTGCTCTGTCCCCAGGCTGGAGTGCAGTGGCATGATCTTGGGCTCACTGCAAGCTCTGCCTCCCGGATTCACGCCTCTCTCTGCCTCAGCCTCCCGGGTAGCTGGGACTACAGGCCCTGCCAACATGCCAGCTAATTTGTTGTATTTTTAGTAGAGATGGGGTTTCACGTGTTAGCCAGGATGCTCCCAATCTCGCTGACGTTGTGGAATCTGCCGTCGGCTTCAGCCTCCAAGTGCCTGGGATTACAGGAGTGAGCCACTGTGCCAAGCCCTTAAATTTTTTTTTTTGGAGATGATGTCTCCTATGTTGCCAGGGCTGGGTGCGGAGCGCCATAATCTTGGGCTCACTGCAACTTCCACCTCCAGGATTCAGTGATTCTCCTGCTCAGGCCTTCCCGAGTGCCCCTAGCCAGTGGATCACGGTGCCCCACACCACCATGTCCAGCTAATTTTTGTATTTTTAGTAGAGACAGGCTTTCACCATTTTGGCCAGGTTGGTCTCAAACTCCTGACCTCAAGTGGTCCGCCTGCCTTGGCCTCCCAAAGTGCTGGCATTACAGGCATGAGCCACCGTGCCTAGGCAAATTCCACCTCATTTTAATGCTAAGTCCCCACACCAAAGTGAACATGAGATGCATGTTACATATATGTTCATCCGTTGTACCTGTGCTAGGCTTCCCTCACAGATATGTATAGCTTTTCCCCCAAACCTGTTGAATATGGATGACTCTACTGTGTAACATGGACCCTGTGAGGCATAAAACCCAACCTGCCCTTTCTCTCGTCAAAGAGACGGCACCTTCATTTCACACCACAGACTTTCTTTTCCGGGTTTGCAAACTGATATCACCAATAAACCTCTCCTTTCTACCATTTTGCCATCCTGGTGGTCTTCTGGACGACTGTACAAATCATGGGGAAATCTTCTTTTGAGACGGAGTCTCGCTCTGTCTCCCAGGCTGGTGCAATCTCAGCTCACTGCAAGCTCCCCCTCCCGGGTCACGCCATTCTCCGGCCTCAGCCTCCCAAGTAGCTGGGACTACAGGTGCCTGCCACCACACCTGGCTAATTTTTTGTACTTTTAGTAGAGACGGGGTTTCACCGTATTAGCCAGGATGGTCTCTATCTCCTGACTTCGAATCACAGGGAAATCTAATGTGCTGTTCTGGAAACTGTGGTGAGAACAAAATTGATTCGACATTCTCTGCAGAAGCCCCTCCCATTTGCAGATGACTGTCCTCTTACCTTTCCAAAACTCCCCTTCCCCAGCACCATGAGGAAATTGAAGTCGGTGAGTTTCACTCGGTCCAGGTTGTTGGAAGGTTGTTTCCTGTCTTCAGAGGGACTGATGACTTTGTTGCCAGCAGGGCCAAGCTTGGCTTTCTAAATAACAAGCACAAATGGGAAACGTGTGGGTCGTTTTTCTGGGGAAAGAGTGACAGAAACCACCGCGTTGTAACTGAGTTTGATGTTTGCTTGGAGGTGGGATGGGGTGAGAAAAGGAACTAAGGGTGAGGATTGAATATCTGTTCAGATATCAGTGGCTACACTCACCCTACAGGGAAAGTCTGCAAAGTAGCAGAAAACTGCTCTCCCTATCAAGAGACAACTCTTTACAGAGCCAGCCTAGAACTGATGCGTGGGGATCCGTGTAGGGCTGGTTGGTTGTAATTCTAGTATGTAAAAGTTGACTTCTTGGGAAAAACAGTGCTTCGGGTCCATTAACATAATAAAGGAAATAAACTGTGTACGCATGCTTTTCGTATTTGTAGATTTTCCAATTTAAAATTAATCTGCATAAAGGAAAACTTGTACCCACACCAAAAGGGAGGAAAATGTTCTCTGGAGAGGAACTGCTTAAAATGGCAAAGCCATTCGGATGATTCATTGCTATTTTCAAATGCACAGTAAGAACAGGGGTTGGGTTTTTTTTTTTTTTCTTTAAATCAAGAGTTGAACTCACAAAAAGACATGGTGATGTGCATAAGAAGAGATCCCAGCACTTTGGGAGGCCAAAGCAGGTGGATCACCTGAGGTCTGGGGTTTGAGACCAGCCTGGCCAACATGGTGAAACCCCATCTCTACCAAAAATACAAAAATCAGCTGGGCATGGTGGTGTGTGCCTGTAATCCCAGCTACTTGGGAGGCTGAGGCAGGAGAACTGCTTGAACCAGGGGGGTGGAGGTTGCAGTGAGCTGAGATTGCACCATTGCATTCCAGTCTGGGAGACAGAGCGAGACTCTATCTCAAAAAAACAAATAAAAATAAAAATAAAAATAAGCGCAAGGCACCCTTTGTGCCTGAAGAATATCTGGTCACTGCCTGGCGGGCGAGCTACCAAAGGAGTTTTTAGAAGCTCTAGCGGGAGCTTTGCCCTCACAACTCTCACCAAGGCCTCAGAGTCCATGTCAAAGGCAAAAGGTAAAAGGGCTCAGCAGAAAAAAGAAGGTAAGTAAACCCACGGGAAGTCTCACTGCCGCCGAAGGAGCCCTGGAGAAGCCTGGAGTGGGCCGAGTCTCCCAGCACAAGACTCTGAATTTTGAACATCTGCCTGATGGGGAGGAGCTGGTTGTAAGAAGCCTCGGCTGCTGGCAGGTTCAGGACCCTGGCCCCTGGCTAGACCTCCACAGCCATATCCCTGAGCCCTAGGGCAATGATTCTTGCCTTGGATACATTCTTTTTTTTTTGACACAGAGTTGTGCTCTTGTTGCCCAGGCTGGAGCGCAGTGCAGTGGCATGATCTCGGCTCACTGCAACCTCTGCCTCCCAGGTTCAAGCGATTCTCCTGCCTCAGCCTCTTGAGTAGCTGGGAGTCGCCAACACGCCCGGCTAATTTTTTTGTATTTTTAGTAGAGACGGGGTTTTGCCATGTTGGGCAGCCTGGTCTCAAACTCCCAACCTCAGGTGATGTGCCCACCTCGGCTTCCCAAAGTGTTGGGATTACAGGTGTGAGCCACCACGTCCAGCCCATTCTTAATGGAAGGGTGCACCCCCCTCCCTAGTGCAGCAGACCTGAGCTCTGGAGCTCTTGCCAGGAACTCACTCAAGTCAACACCTTGGTGGTTACCAAGATGATGGTGAAGGAGGTAAGGAAGGCACTCAAGGGGCTTTACTATGGACCAGCAGCAGAGAAGGCTTCCGAGGAGTCATCCATCGTCCCTCCTGGAGCATCACCATGCCTTCATCCTACACGTACTGACTGAGCCCCCTTGTGCTCTCCTGGGGAGCCTCTGCATTTGCTGGAGGAGACCCTGCTGACACAGGAATTCAGCAGGACTGGTTTCACAAGATACAGGTCACAAAGAATCCCTAATAGAACAGTATGTGGTGAAGAAGCCAGTCAAAACCCGCCAAAACCAACAAGGCAATGAAAGCAACGTCAGGTCTCCTGGCTGCTTGGCATATGCTAATTATAACACATTGGCATACTGTAGGAAATGCCCGCCGGCACCAAGACAGTTTACAAATGTCATGGCAACATGTGGAAGTTACCCTACATGGTGTGAAAGGGGAATCCTCAGTTCCAGGAATTCCCTACCCCTTTCCCAGAAAACTCATGAATAATCCACCCCTCATTTAGCATTTGATCAAGAAATAACCACAAAAATAGCCAACCAGCAGCCTTCAGGGCTGGTCTTCCTATGGAGTAGCCACCCTGTTACTCCTTTGCTTTCACTTTACTCTGTAGGCTTGCTCTTGAATTCCTTCCTGCCCAAAGCCAAGAACCTATGTGGCCTCTCAGGCTGAACCCCAATTTTGGGGTTCACCCTGTGACAGCCAGCTGTGTCTAGATTCCCAACCCTAACAGTACTCGGCATAGGACATGCACTCAGCTCTCTAGTTGAACAAATACAGAACTGAAGCCCAAATGTGCTTATCAGATGCTGTGCTGTTGGGTGATGCTTTTCTCTGATAAGAATAACTTGCTCGTGGCCAGGTATGGTGGCTGGCTCACGCCTGTAATCCCAGCACTTTGGGAGGCCGAGGAGGGTGGATCACGAGGTCAGGAGTTCAAGACCAGCTTGGCCAACATGGTGAAATCCCATCTCTACTAAAAAAACACAAAAATTAGCTGGGCATGGTGGCACGTGCCTGTAATCCTAGCTACTCGGGAGGCTGAGGCAGGAGAATTGCTTGAATTGGGACCTGGGAGGCAGAAGGTAAGCAAGTGGGCGAGATGTTGCCACTGCTACTCTAGCCTGGCCTAACAGAGTGAGGACTCCAGCTCTCAACAAAAAAAAAAAAAAAAAAAAAAAAAAAAAAAAAAAAAGGAATAAACTCCGCTCGTTTCAGCGGATTCAAGTTTCTCAGGCGCTTTGCATTACATTGCTTTTGGATTTGAGTTGGAGCTTGCACGCCCATGTTTGACAGAACCAGAGACATTATTAAAAGAAAACATTAAGGGAGGAAAAGATGGGCCCTGGACATTTGATGGCTTCCAGACACCTGTTGACCTTGGGGCCGACTGGAAAACTAAGGAAGGCCATAAGATAAAACATGAATTGCAATGCTTACACACCGACTGGGCCTGCCCCACTTGTGTGCTCTTTGTTTCAATTGTGCTATTGTCTGATCTATGTGGATACTGGTTGTGAATGGTTGTGGGCTGTGTTGGCGTGCAGTGGCACCGACCTCGGCTCACTGCAACCTCTGGGCCTCTCCCTGGGTTCAAGCTGATTCCCTGGCCTTCAGCTTCCCTTGAGTAGGCTGGGATTACCGTACAGTGCGCGACCACCAAAAGCCCCAAGTAAGTTTTTTGTTTAATTTTTAGTAAGAGATGCCGGTTTTTGGCTGTGTTGGCCAGGCTGGTTTCAAACTCCTGATCCATCCGCCTTGGCCTCCCAAAGTGCTGGTATTACAGGTGTGAGCCACCGCACCTCACTGGCTGTGTCTAAATTTAAAAGAATAGATAGGAAGTGCAAATTTGAGATGAGAATACCGACCGTGCCACCCTGCTCTGCTCTTCTGACTTAGAATAAGAAAAAAGTTATCAGAAAGAGGCACAGATTAATTGTATTTTCTCAGGATTCACAATAACATCTGAAAACACCCAAACACTGACTTGCTGATCTGAGGTGCTTGAAATAGGGGAAAACCACTTTCACCTGGGTGAAGCTGCTATTCATACTACCAACAAATGCCCCGCTTCCAACTGTAGCACGTGGTTCTACCCAGCTATGCTGGACTCCTTTGACATTCCCAGTCATTCCTCCTTCCTCCTTTGACACTTCACCACCAGTCAGGGGATGTGGGTTGATGCCTCCAGGTTGATGCCTGCCTATCTGGATGAGCCTTCAGATACACAGGGGGGATTTCTACACACATTGCCATCTACCGCCTCGATGCAGACATAACCTAACGATGGCCTTGTGAGTTTCATGTTATGATCTCAGTCTGGTTATAAGCATGAGACATTCCCCACAGTCAGGCTAAAGGCTGACAAAAACATTTTTACATTCAATTACTTCTGAACTTATTTGCAATATGACCTTGGCTTCGGGTCTCAAATCAATCGCCAGGTTTGAGAGGAGCATCCACAAAGGAGACACCTGCTCCCACAAGGTGGAGCTGGGCAGAGGATGCCACAGGCTTCCTGCTCTGCCTGGGCAGATTCTTTTCAGCCGGAAGCAGAGCTGAGTTTCTGGAGGTTGGTAGAGCAGGCAGCTGGTTGGGAAGGAGACAGACGGGGTGTGAGGTCCAGGGCAGGCTGACCACATCCATATCAGAGAGCTGGCTTCTCAGTGGCCTGGTCCGGAGGGTCAGAATGGATTTCTCCCCAGCCCAAGCCAGCTCTGAGATCAGAGCAGACCCAGCATCTTCACGCCCTTGCTCCCACCAAGAGCAGCACTTCTGTTTCCACTACAGCACACACTTCCTGAGCCATCTCCACGCTGCCACCTGCAGGCCTTGCTGCCAAAGGACACAGAGCCATCCAATGCTGACTTTTTGAAAGCAGTTCTTTTACGGTAGGAAACTGCACGGTATGGCAACCTCAGGGGTCTGGGCCTGGCTTTGAGCAAGTCCCACTTGCAATCTGGGTCTAATCAATGCTGGGGTTGAGGGAGACAGCCAGTGGATATCCAAGCGGCTATGTCAGTGGGGGCGGGGGATGCCTGAGGGCAGGGGGACAAGGAACCATATAGGACTTCCAGGTGGGCAGGGGCGCCAGGGCTGAGGATCAGATGCAGCGCGAGGCTTGACCTCCAGACCTCCGGTCAGCACCTCCTCTGTCTTCCTGAAGACCCAGCCCTCCCTGGCCTGCCGTTTCTCCTCCACCCCTAGCCTGGCTGACCTCTCCCACTCCTTCAGGTCCCAGCTCAACTGCTATTTCTTCAAGGAAACTGAGACAGGAATAACACAGGGTGGTAGCAGGAGAATAGAAA